TCTGAAAGAATTGAGTTCAGTATGTCCTCACATCTAGACATCTCCTGGAACCCAAACAAGAATACCACCAAATGATTTGTTTCAGAAGGCTCGATAGATAGTTGTTCACACAGCTGAGATCTAAACTGGGTGATACTATGAAGGTTGGGTCCACCATAAAGTATTCTTTGACATATTTTTTTTATGTCTTGGGGTTGGGTGAAGTGTGTGTGTTGGGGGTGGTAGAGAAAGGAATCAGAAGATTTAGATTAGCGATATCATTTGAAAATAGGTAATTTCATAAATATTATACTTTTCCTCTGATGTTTTACTACACTGTCCAAAAGTTATTTGGGGGGGAAAAAAGTATCTCCTACTACTTTTTGAAGACTGTTGAAATCATACTTTTTATGAAATAGTAAATTATACATTTTATACTTATGTGTGTTTGGTGCAGTAGGGACTCTGGATGAGACCCAGGTTTGAATTCTGGCTCCTTGGAGTCCAGCCATGTGGCCTGGAGGGTATTCCTAATCTCTGGGTGGAGGTGGGGAGCAGTTGTAATTGTTACATGTCCCTTCTGTAAAGAATTATAGCTATTTCACAGGATTATTAAAAGGATTAAATGAATATTTTATGCAATATTCCTAGTACTGTTACAGCACATAGTAGGCCCTCAGCAAATGCCAGCTATTACATCTAGCTACTGTGACACAGAGTTGAGTTTTGAAACACCGTCTTTCTAAATAATGATCATTAAGTGGAGGTAGAGTTGCCAGATCAAATACAGGATGTAGGGTTATATTTGAATCTCAGATAAACAACAAATACATTTTTTTAGTATAAACATGTCCCATGTAATATTTGGGACATACTTACACTAAAAAAATTTCACTGTGAATCTGAAATTCAAACTTAACAGGGTTTTTTAATTTGCTAAATTTAGTAACCCTACAAGTAGCATTGATAAGATGCAGTCAAAGGGAACCTGCTAACAACCTCTAGAAATTACCAATGTTGTTCACTTCGAGTTGGCCAAGAGACCTTTTGCCCACCAGTTATGCAGCCAGTATACTCTGCCGTTAGTGGGGAAATGTCTGCCAGAGCAGCCCTGTGTTCCTCTCATCAAATCTCAAGTTGTCAGTCTGGTGCCACCATTTAGTAGGTAAATGTCTACCATTTAGTAGGTAAATGTTTCTCTCCAAACAAACAAAAGCTTAAATGGTTGGGGAGATAAGGCTTATAAAACATAAAATGTTAGTGTGCAAAATTAGAGTGTGCAATTGTGTTAAACCGAGGGGCAAGACTCTAAGTGGTCAAGGAGTTGAGAGCCAGGTGACCTGATCAGTGAAGAGTAGGCCAGTGAGGAAGGAGGCCTTGGCTCCACAGCTTGAAAGACCGGCAGGCTCTGGTGAGGCAATGGAAATCTGACCTTCCTGGCTAGCTGGGCCCTTACCCCTGAGGATGCTCCCATAGAAACACTTTAAGACAGGGAGGCCTGGCCTGTCAGAGGCTTGGGTCCGCAACTGATATATGCTGCTCACTGCCCCGTCAGCTGGACTCTCTTGATATCCAGCAGCACGTACAGGGTGGTGCCCCTCCACGTGCAGCCCTGTGATTTACTGCATTGCCATTTTCTTTGTTTCGCCCGAGTCCAGGGGCTCTGTTTTGTCTCCAGATTGTTCAGTGACTAGGGATTCCCGACAAGGGGCAAAGGTTAGGAGTCTGTGGCCATATCACCTTGTTGCTACTTCTTGTTCAGGACATACTGACAGAATTGTACCTGGTTCTTTGATCTCAGACCAGACAAAGAGCCAGTAGTGTCTCACAGCACTGGCTGAAATATGCACCGTGGTCATTAGTACCTGACTTGGCCAGGAATTTTACCTCTTGTCAGGTATTAGAAGTCAGCATGGGAACAGACCAGGTCATTTTAGTGAGTAGTGTACAGCCTAAAGGGTAACAAGTTTATATTTTAAATGTCATATAATAAACCTTTTTTGAACCTCTATTTTACGAAACCTGAATGGAGTGTGTTTGGGGAGTAGTGGTAAAGTGACATCCTTCCACGACCGTTCAGATTGCATGAAGTAGATTTGGATTCCAGGCAGCGTATGCCCCTGTGATAGAAGAGCAATTAAGCCACACTAACAAGTGCCCAACAAGATACCATAATGCGGGGAAAAGTGTGCAAGGCCTGTGGACCTTGGAGGGTAGGGTCAGGTAGAATAGGCTTCCTTGTATTGAATTTTGACCCATATTTTAAAAGAAACTATTGGATGTTATGGTTAAATTGTGTCCCCTCAAAAAAGATATGTTTAAAAATAAGGAGAGATGTTGAAGTTGTAAAGCAAAGAAAAAGAGAGAGAAACTACTGGAAAAGGAAGTGTTAGGATATTCCAAACTGAGGGGTGGTGGGCACCAAGGGGTAGCGTATGCAATGTAAATCAGGGGAAGGATGACTTAAAAACAAAACAGTATAGATCTTTCATGTCATCCCTACTTAAAAGCCTTAAGATCTTCCTTTCTATAGAAAGGAAACATGGTATTCCAGGCCCTCCATACTATACTAGACTAATTTTTTATGTTGTTGCACATTTACCACCCCTCCTATAAATGCTGCCCCCCCAACACAGCCGTGCAATACATTCCCGTGCACTTACACCCCTCCCCATTTACAGTCCCACACTGAGCTGCTTGGGGTCCAGGGACTGCAGCTCATTCTGCCTTTGTGCGGAACAAGTGTAAGGACGTGATCCACATATGGAAAGTCACCCGCAAGTACGTGTCAGGTGGTTGCTGTAATCCAGGCATGGGAGGAGCAGCTCAGGGTGGGCAGAGGAATTAGCAGTGAGACATGTAAGGACAGAATCTGAGAAGAAACTAGAGATTTTGAAGCTGACCAGAGAGGTACAGGGGCAGGGGCGAGAAGGATTAAAAAAATGAAAAAATCCCACAGGATTTTAACTTGAGGAATTGGGAAGGATCTTGGTATGTTTGATAAGTGGGAAGCTGGAATGTAATAGGGGTGGAGAGAAATTGATGAGATGACCCAAAGCTTGGCAGCCAAGTGCAGAGAAATGACTCAGGAAATGGGAGAATGAGGCTCAGAACAGGTGATGAGGAATTGGGAAGGATCTTGGTATGTTTGATAAGTGGGAAGCTGGAATGTAATAGGGGTGGAGAGAAATTGATGAGATGACCCAAAGCTTGGCAGCCAAGTGCAGAGAAATGACTCAGGAAATGGGAGAATGAGGCTCAGAACAGGTGGTTTTCATATTTTCTGTCTTCTTACCAATGTTCCCCCTCCTCGTTTTTGCTTCTGAAAGCTTATGGGTTACATCATTTCAATGAATATGAATTAAAAAGTTTATGGGATAAATTACATAAAGTTTGTAGAAGTGAAACATGCACATACATGCACACACTATAAAGTGCAAACAATACAGTGTGAGTGAAAAGTGTCATCCACACCTTATTTTTCCATAACTGTTACCATTTTTGTACTCTATTTCAGAGACTTATTTTCATTTACTTATTTGCATATATGTCTGTCTTGTCATTTTTTGCCAAAATGGCAGTACACAGTATCTGTGGGGTTTTATACTTTAACAGTGTGTTTTAGAAATCCTTTCTAATCAGTACGTTCATTTTAACTGCTGCATAGTATTCCATGGCATGGATGTACATTATGGATGATGAATATTTAGTTTCTATAGATCAGACCCAAATAAGATCTTTGTACGTGTTAGTCTTTCAGTGTGCAAATAAGATCTTTGTACACATGCTAGTCTTTCAGTAGGAAAATGCTTAGGAGTTGCTTAGTTCACAGAATAAGCACTTAATTTCCCTTTAATTAAGCTATACTAATCTACACTGTCACAAAAACTTTGAAAGTGCCTAATTTCCCACATCGTTGCCAAGTGCATTAACATATCTTTTGAACTTTGAGAGTCAGGTGGAAAAATGTTATCTCATGGAAGTTTGATTTGCATAATGGAAGGACCTTTAAAATTTTCAGCCAAATAACAGCCAAAAATTTGTATAAGTTTTAGTTCATGTTAATGAAGGCTTCTATCTCTACTCTGTTAACTAATTTTTCATCAAAATGCTATTTACGTGTGCTGAGGTGAGATTACAGCCAGAAGGGAATTATTTAACGCAAAGACAGTATTGAAAACAGAAAGTAACTTAATAATGCTCTTTATTGGTTGAGTCCTTTAAAATCTATATGGGAGCATGGTGTCCTACATGATATAGGTAACTACATTACTGCAGGTGTTTGTTATTTTTACTTCCCTCCTGGTTAGGATGCATCAGAACCTGTAGGAAGGAAGCAGCCTCAACTCCAGCACGTGGGGCCACAGAACCGGCCTTAATCCGGATCAGAACAGTCCAGTTATTCCTAGGCCAGCTGTTCATGCTCTCCGCATCTCATCTGTAAACTGGGGGTGTTCCATTAAGCACAAAAGCTACTGTCCCTTGCTGTTAATGCCCCAGTGCCCCACCGTGGCTTAATGGCTGGGTTGGAGAAGAAGCTACCACCTCTGACAGCGGAGTGGGAAGACGGCGGAACGTTCCACAGCAAGAGACTTCTACAAATAGGAAATAAAAGTGGGAAGGATTTCAAAACCTAACGGGGACACCTCGCTACAGCTCTGTGGTCTCTTTAGCCAGCTGTTGAGAACGCCTAATTTCTCAGTCTGACGTAAGGATGGATATTTAGCCAGCTGGGAAGGCAGAGGCGTGATCTAATAATACGGCTTCCAACGTCCCAGGTTAATTTGTTATCCGTTAGTCTTGAAATCAAGTTAGAAGAAACGTCCTCAAGTTGTGGCAGGTGCACTTTACACGGCTAGTCCCGAAGCTGGGGAAGCCACACCTCAACACCGGGCAGGCGTCCCGCGCCTGGGTGCGCGGGTGCCCCGGCAGCTCGGTCTCCGGCTGCGATGTCCCCGCGCCCGCCGTCCGCAGCGGGGGAGGGCGCTTCCCGGACCCCTTCTCTTGAATTCCATTCGCGGCCAGCCTCCAGGAGAGGGACCCCTGCTCCGCGCCACTGGGCAAGTGCTTGTCCTGCGTGACAGCGCCGCGCCGTGAGTGTGAAGGCAGAAGCAGAAAGCAGAAGGAGTGGCTGGAAGAAGCAGGGAAAAGCCAAGTTCCCCCCACCGGTTGGGCCGCTCGAGGAGGAAGAGCCAGGCACAGGGACCCACCGGGGGAACCCCCGGTCCCGGAAGGCGTGCGGCAGGCGGGGTCTCGCTCTGCCGCCTCCACGGCGGGCGGCTCTGCGGCGCCCAGCGCAGCTGCGCAGCGCAGGCGGCCCGGGCCCGCCCCGTCTAGGGCGCGGACACCCGGCTGGTCTGCGAGGTGCGCACCGCGCGTTCCCCGGGCGCAGAGAGACGGCTCCGAAGGGCGGAGGAGCCGCGCCCCACTGCACTGCGGCGGCTGCACAGCGGACCTCTCGGAGGCTGCCCAGCCCGGCAGGGGGCGACGGCGGCGGGCGGGCAGACGGCTTTGTGCGGTGGGCGCTGTTGCCCGGGCGACGGTGCAGCCCCTCCCCGCCCGGCCCGGCTCCGCCCCTCGCGCCACCGCGCCCCGGTCTCCGCGCCGCCGCCCGCCCAGCCGCAGTCTGCAGGAGCCGCCGCCGCAGCCGGCCGCCGGGCGGCAGTGCGAGGCAGTCGCCGGCCGCGAAGCTCGGCCCTCCCCGCCGGTGCGCCTCGCCGCCTCGGTCCGGGGGCCGGGGCCCGCTGACCAGCCCGCCCTCCGGCTTCCAGCCGACGCTCCCCGGCCGCCGCAGGGACCCTCCCACCGGACGCGGCCGGGCCGCCCGTCCGCCTGTTCGACCGCTGCCGCTGATGCCAGCTGGCGGAAGGCTGGTATGGAAGGCGATGGCTCAGCCCCGCTGGTGAGGGCACGGCGGCGCCGCTCTAGCCGGCCGCGGTGTGTGCGTCCCCCTCGCAGCCGGGAGGGAAGCTCTCCGCGGAAGAGAGCCTCCCCGCCGGGGCTGGGTTCTGCAACCGGGAGCCCCCTTTCTGCCTCTCGGGGGCTCCAACTCCGGGTCCCCGTGCCCGGAAGAGGGCACCTCTCGAGCGTGGACGTAGCCCACCTGAGCACCCCCGGGAGGCCGCGCAGAGCTCTTTCCTGGGGTTTGGGCTGTGGCGTTGCTTCACTTTGGGGAATTGTGGCTAGTGCCCTGCGCGTGTCCAGCGCCCTTTGTCGGGGAGTCGGTGGGACCGGACCGGCGTCGCCAAGAGCAGAGGCCCCTCCGGCCTCGGTGCTCGCGGGAAGCGGGCTCGCTCAGGCAGCTGTCGGGGTGCAGATGTTTTTGTTGGAAGAGGAAGGCTGTGCAGTTCTTTCGAACTTAGTAGTATCCCACTGATCCCCATTTCTTTCAAAACAGCTTAATTGTGGGAGCCGCCGCATCCTGTTTCTCTTAATCAGATTGTTTCCCCTCGATGAATGTAAAGTGAACACTTGTTTTTCTTTTGGGTAATGGTTACTTTATATCCGTCATGATTAAAAAGCTCATGTACTGTTTTATGGAAAAGAAAAATGCAAATAATTTTAGATTTTCTAGTGGGAGGTAGACCTCTCACATAAAAGAAGGTGTGAGAACCTATTTTAGACGGACAACAGTTTCCTTTGAATTAGGTGTCAAATCCTTTGTGAAATGAGATAGAATATGAATATTCTGTATTTTTTGATGTGAATTTTGAGGCGTGGCTGTCTTCTAGACTTACTAAACTTGTGACATGTGGGCTTTCATAAAATATTTATTGAATGATGCAGCAAGAAACGCTGCAAAGACCCGTTGGTAAGCGGTAAAGCCAGTTGGCTGTAGGCCTCTGGTCAAACGTGCTTCGCGTCACTTTAGAGGGAATAGAACAGCATACATTTTTATTTAATTAAAATAAGTGAATTAATTTTAATGTGTATTTCCGGTGGTTGAAATGATTGTACAAGGTTATGAGCACTTTAAGATTGCAGGGATGCTGGATATAGATTCATAGCACCCGAAGTTTGGGATACATGAGGAAAAACTGCATAGGGAAAGGATGGGAAAACTGATTATGAGGTTATCAGACCTTTTAGTTGAGATAGAGTCTAAGTGTTTCTCAATGAAAATAACCAAGCTTTAGTACCTGAGAGCACTTCACAATGCTTTCAAATCATCTACACGCTTTCCATACTCGTTTTGCTTCTAAGATGACTGCTTCGATAAGCAGCATGTGAACCTCCAGCATTTTAACCTCCAGCTACATTGCCAATGCAGCATCTGAGAAATGGCCACATTTAATGTAGAAAATTTCTGATAATAAAGCTGGTAAATAAATTTCAACTTGGCTTTATGCACATACTGGCTAACCCAATTTTTCACAGTCTTGTTGTTTGCCAGTCACAGACTTACTGTGCCAAATGGGAATACAGTCTCATTGTTAGGGCCGTCTTCTTATTGATGTAGTCTACTTTTAGGATTTCACTGAAGTAGATGATTTGACTAACTTCATAACTGGTGAAATTATGTCTCCCTGACATTTTATGCTAATTTTTGTTAATACTTAAGTTTTTACAGTGTCCTGTCCCTTCAATTGTAGGTTATGGATGTTGAGAGGGGATTGATGGTATAGAATGTCAAAGCCAAAAAGGATCTTCAGATTTAAAAAAATCTGTGTCTTAATTTTTTTCAGAAAGGAAAACTCATGTATTTATACAAACATGTTAATATATTTATGCACAAAGAGCCTTTGATCCTGGTTTCTTTTTCTCACTTTAAGGTTGCCATTAAGAATATCGAAAGAGAGCTCATTTGTCCTGCATGCAAGGAGCTGTTTACCCATCCGTTGATTCTCCCTTGTCAACATAGTATCTGTCATAAATGTGTAAAAGAACTCTTACTGACACTTGATGACTCATTCAATGACGTGGGATCAGACAACTCCAATCAGAGCAGTCCTCGACTTTGGCTGCCCTCCCCTAGCATGGATAAAATTGACAGAATTAACAGACCAGGTAGGTATGTGGTGGAACCTTGGGGTCAGGGTGTTGCAGTGCTTACTGGGGAAGGGAAGTTAGTTTTGTCATTTTGAGGGTTAATCTTTCCAGATGAATAGATTAAACTGTATTATAAAGGGATGCCTCACCTTTTTAAAATGTCAAAATTAGCTCTGTCTTTTGATATGTCCTTAGAGGCAGCTATTGAACACCAACTTTGTGTTAAACTCCTTAGTAGCTGCGTCTGTATTTTGGGATGTTCTGACCAGGTGATGTCATTTATATGAGGGATGAAATAATGGACTACTGAAGTACTTCCTAGGGGAACATCTATGTATGGTAGCATGTGAATAAATATGCAGAATTATTTATTAAATAATCCTATTCATAGTCATAGGACATACCTAATGACTAGTCCTAAGAAGCTTTTTGGATGAATTATTTGGCATCATTTTGTTCCACCTGAGGATTTTATTTTATCCACCCATTTTAAATCCATTTGCTAAAATAAGGACTTTGAACACTAAGTAAGTAGTAGTGGAATTCTATAGAAATGATAGAAATAGATCAAATTAGATGTATAGCACGTTCGTTTGTACTTTTCCTCTGTAGCCAATGTTTAAATTATTTTCTATTTGGGATAGTGTGACTTTCTTCTGGTTATCAATGCTTGATTAAAATGTTTCAATATTAATTTGAAATCACTGAGAACAGGGTCACTGGGAAATTAAGAGCCAAAAGTCAGCACTGAGGACTGAGTGTGGTCAGGTTTGGGTAGAAAAACCACAATATCATGTTAGGCACATTCTTCATAAGTGGAGAGTGGCCCTTAGCACCAGCCCAGGGCTTCGCCTCTGCCCAGTGTGGGCTTTGAGGTTTTCAATTTAATCCTTTGGTCCACTTTGTCCATTTCTCCCTTTTGCTCTATAGGAATAACTTCTTAATCTTGTAAAAATACCTTTCTTATTAGGAAATAATCTATCTGCACTTTTGGGAACGTGGTCCGTTTTGGTCCCCACTGTCATAGGGTGATGTTCCTGTCTTTCTGTGCCCCCTCAGGACGTGGAGGAGAGGATATTTGCTCTGAGAGTAGTGATGTGCCATTTAGAGACATGTAGTTTTCTTTAAATGGTAATCACTCCTTAAAAGTTATTTTGGACACATAAAAATTGTACATATATACAAAAAAGGAGCATTAGGTAACTGGGAGTGCAGGGGGCATGAGGTGGGAGGGGGTCATGCTCATTGTGAAGTCATCCCTTCAAGATTCCCTCCTTGCTAGGAAACTGGCTCAGTGAGCAGGAAGGAAAGACAGTGATAGCTAAAATCATCCTGCCGGATAAAACTGGAGATTTTGTTTGGAGACCCTCATTGGCTAAGTAGGAACCCCTGCTTTATTGACCCAGGAAAATATGCTTTTTGTGTATTAATGTTTAGCACAGACCATTGAAAGGAGTTTTTGTTATGTTCTAGGATTTCTACTTAAAATTAAATTGAGCTTTTATAAAGTCCTGCATTTTATGTAGGCTTCTAATCTTAAGATTTGGTTAGTTTTTATATGTGTATGTGCAGTATGAATGAAACATAGATGAAATATATTTAACTAGATACAGTTAACTGTTGCTGTTTGTAGGAACTTACTGAACACAGTACTTGGCAGATGTTTAATAAATATTTGCTGAGGGGATAATGAATGGCAGACCTTTGCTGCAAGATTTGTACAAAGCAGGCCACAATGGCTTATATTCAATAACAATGGCATTTTTTCCCCCAGAACAAGAGTTCCATTCCCCACCCTACTTGATGCTGTGCCAGTCAGAAAATAGAATTACTGAGATGTTCCTCCCTCTTTAGCGAGGAACCCCACTAAAGTTAGATTTTGTCTGAGGAGCAAAGTTAGAAAACCTTGCTGTGAAAAGGAAATAAGAATATTTAAGCTGGAGAAGGGACGGTTGCAGAACGTGCTGCCTGTCTTGTGGGAGAAAGAACACACTGGGTGTCTTCTTGACAGAGGTTCCAGATCAATGAGTAGATGAAACAGGAAGGCAGATTTCAATTTAGCATGAGAGAAGATCACCTGTCCAAAAATGAAATGTGCTACGAAATTTGTCAGATTCTTATCATTAGAAGTAGTTAAATTAGGGGTCAAATTTAGATGCTATAGGGGCCAAATAGGTACATTAATGAAACAGGTCCTGGGCATCACAAATAAAGGACCCTCTTTTCATTTTACTTCTTTGATATAAAGACAGTAAATATTTCATTTTCCCTTTAATGCAACTGCTATAAAAAGACCAGCAGTCCAAGAGTCAGCAGCCAGCTGACTCCGGGCCTCTGCTGTTGGAGACAGTGGGGCATGATTTGGGACTGGACACTAGAATGAACGCCTTGTGTAAAGGGGCTACTGCCACTTGGCACTAGGGCATTATTATGTGGCTTTGGGTGTACTACATTGTCGGACTTACCGTTTTGCACCCCCTCCACCCAAAACCTGATAGTGGTTTTGAGTTTTTTAAACGTTAGCAGTTACTTCCATTTGAATTTAAAAAGACCATGCTAGCTCAGCATAGGGCACGGCAGCCCAAATACATCTTTGACTCTGACCTAACCTGAGTTTGGACTGTCAGTGTTCGGAGTCTTTGTTTTAAACAATGGATAAGTGACCATGGTTTACAGATATTGTGGAGGGGATTTCAGTCTTGGGTGGTATGTTGGGCTGGTTGATATGTGAGTTGCTGTTATATTCTCCAGCCCTGAAGTTCTGTGCCTTTTTGAGAACTATTTGCATTTGTTCTTTCAAAAAATTACTGAAGTTACCAAACATGACTGAAGAGTACTTAACAAGATAGACCCACCCCTCCTCTTTTTAAGAGGCGTTTAGTCTCCCATTGTTCAGAGCTTCATAAAAGATGAACACACACAGTCCTTCATCTAGAAGAACACACAGAGCAAGATAACAAATAAGGTAAAACACTGAGAGGGTAAGAATGCTGCTTGTAGGGCAATCACTCCTGCAGGTTTTTACCAAATGCATTTAACTTTTAGTGGGGATCTCCTTCTCCTGACAATTTTCAAGTAGTAGAACTCATTGTATTACAAATACAATGCTACTTACCCTCCATTCATGGGTCACTTGCCTATAATTTTCCTTTGGGTAGATTCAGAAATAAATTTATAGAGAAGTAATGTTTGCTTTTCTTTCTGGCAGACTTTTTTATTTTTGTTTTTCTTCATTTAGACATACTTGAGCAGGAAGCCAGAAACTATTCTGAGCCTTTGGTGTGGGAGGAATAGGATTCTAAAAATTAGTCTTGCCGGTGGTTTAATAAAGGGACTAATTAGACCTGGACTGTCCAGTACAGTAGCCACTAGCCACGTGGCTACTGAGGGCTTGAAATGTGCCAGTGTTGAGATGTGCTGTACATGTAAAATACACATTGGATTTTGAACACTTAGATTGAAGAAGATAGCTCTTTAATAATTCTTACAGTGATTACATTTTGAAGTGATAGTATTTTGAATATATTGTTTTAAATAACATGTATTACTAAAATTTCACTTGTTTTTTTTTGTTTTAATCTGGCCGCTGGAAAATTTTAAACGGCATATGTGGCTTACACTTTCTGGCTCACATGTTCCTTTTGGATGGTATTACATTGACCATTTGACAGATTTTTAAAAATGAGAGGGTGCCTTGAAAGAATAGGGTTTGTCTGTATAACACAGTAGCATTTAAATTATGTAAAAATAAAGAGCTCTATTGTGCATTTTTGTTCACTATATGCAAGCTTTGCTCCTATTTTGTATTTCCTTTTGTCAGGAAGATGGTTTTAGTAATGTTTGTATACAGTGTTGGTTTACATCAGTAAAAAAAATGAAAAGATGCTTTCCTGTGTTTTTTCAAGTCACCAATAATTTGATGTTTAAAGATACAAACCTATAAGGTATAGTGTAGGTCTCATAAGTGCTACACCAACAGTGATTAATTCTCAGTGCCAAGCTTGATGAGTGTTTCACAGTGATGGCTTCATAAATACCGTGTGTACCAGGACAACCCCTTTTTTTACTGTTAATTCAATAATTGTGTTATGTGCAAGACACAGTTACAGCTTTATCTTTTGTTAACAAGTTGTGAATCTTCTCTTTGAAATGAAATTCTAAATCCAACTTTCTGTTCATTGTTCACAGCATCCCAGCGGAGGTCTTTGGGGTGGAGAGGTAGAAAATGCTTTATTGCTTGTGTGGCTGCAGGCAGTGCAGTGTTAGATGTAAACAACCCTGTCTAAATGAGGTTTTTAAAACATCAGTGGTCAAGTCTTCACAATTTTGTACAAAGTGAACAAATTGGGCTGAAATGACTTAAAGGTCAACAGGATTAAATTACCGAGGAAGTTCTGAGACTTTTAAAGGGAACACTGATTATTAGTGCTTGTATTTTGTCAATTATGATACACAATGTATAATACAATATACAGTGTGATACATAGTATGAAATATGACAAACTATTTTTGAAGAAAATGACATATCCCAATTGTTAGCTCTTGTATGTAAGTATCCTTAAAAGCCCTTTACATTTACTTAATGGAACAAAGCTCACGTTACAGCCATATCGCTACTTTGAGAGGGTTAAATAAGCCAGTACTTTCTTCTGGATTTAAAATTTTGCTTAAAGGTATTGATAATTTTTGTAGTTAATAATTTTGTTTTATGCTCTATGGTGTCTTGTCTTTGTTACTGGTTTTAAAGTATTTGAGTTTTAACATCGAGGTCCTTCCCATGTGTGGGTAAATAATGTGCACTGCTCTTTTAGGCTTTCTGAAATATTTGATTCTGTGTGAAAGATGGGCCAACCTATCATACTAATTTATTTATTTTTTTACTCCAGTTGACCTTTAAAGTAAAATTGGCTACTTGTTTTTGTGGAATGCTGGTGGTACCTTATACTTTATTGGAGGAAATGAATGCCAGAAATGTTATCCCTTTTCTGTCTTCCTCACCTTTCTCTGCATTCTCCCTTATACAAACCTTAAGAGTCACTTCTAGAAGCCACCTGTAGTCCTTTGTCTTACAGGCTTTAGTGAGTCTGAGAATTTCAAGTGTTGAAACTTAGGAGGAAAGGTAGGAGTAGTTTGCTTAAAAAAGTGAATTGCATATCACCTGGTTTTGATTCAGATAGTAGTTGAGGAAAAGATTTTTCAGGTTTTATAGTAATACTCAAAGGGTAAATTTAACTCAGGGGCATTAGGAGGTCAGAATGTGCTGAAGGAAACGCGAAGGTGGCCATATGCATCAGCCCATCGCCAAACACCTAGAAGCCCCAGTGTGAGTGCCCAGCATGGGGAGAGGTGGTGCACTAACTGGCCAGGTGGGGTGGGGACAGGAGAGAAGTTGTTTGCAGAATATGGGAACGGATGCAAGTAGCAGAGGTTTTGAACCTGTTATGAATTGACTGACTTCTACTTATTTTTAAGGTTTTCTCTTTGATGTTTATTTTACAATACTTGATCTTTTTGATATTTAAATGGTAAAACATATGACTGAAAGCTGACTTTTTTGGGAGGATTTGCTCTAAACCAATATGAAGATTATTTGGAGTCTTCATTTTAAAATTGTGTCATGATTTATACTTGTTTAACTTGTCTTTGGTTTATGGAGAGTAAAGCAAATAAAGGTATATGGGGAAAAGAATGGATTCTGCAAGGTGACTGTATTCAAATAATTTGCACATATTATTGGCTCCACAAATGCAGCTCCACATATAATATCGCATTGCTTGGCTTACATTGCTTCCTTCCCTTTCTGAGCCATCATTACTTTCTGTTTCTTAGTGCCATGTTGAGCACTGTTTTCCGAAGGAACTTTCTCTGGTCATGGACATGTTTGACCCTGTGCTGTACGGTATGTTAGCTGCTAGCCACATGTGGCTCTTGAGAATTTGAAATGGAGCTGGTACAACCAAGGAACTGACTTTTAAATTTAATTTTAATTAAATTTCAGTAGTCAAATTTGGCTGGTGGTTATTGTGTCAGCCAGCACGGCTATAGAGAATACGAAGTTGACTGTTTTATTCTTAGTTCTGGTATCTTGACTTTTTTCCATTATATTTACCTCCCGAGAATATCCTTAGATCTGGCCTACTTTATTGTCTTGAACATGTATTCTCGTTTGCTTTTATGAAAACAGTTGTAGAGTATAAGACACATGAAATAAAATGTAAATTCTTTAGCACTCTGTTTAGAAAAACAGCTGAGTTGTATTGACACCTTTTTTAGTGTGATGTTTTACCCCTTATTTTTGTTGTAAAAATAAGGTAAGCGAGGTTTACAGAAAAGGGATGAAACAGCTTAAGATTTCTAAACATGAAGACCAAAATTTGGGTTTCACCAGCATACATGTTGAAGTGTGATTTTGTTGTCATGGTTTAATTTTGCTTTGTCCTATTACTTAATTGGCCACACCTTTCAATTCATAAATACATTTTTAAAAACATTGACTGTTGACATCAGTTATCCATTTTAATTTCTATCACGTAGGTCACGTGTGGAAGCATGCAATTAAATGTGAATTTCCATTTGTTTAAACTTGACCACTGCACTTTAGCACTTCCAGAATTACCTAACTTGGTTTTTCCCTAAACAACGTTTTCATTTGCATGTGTTCTGGAAGTAGCTTTGCTGCTGATTCATTATATGCCTGCTGTGTTGTGGAATTGTGGAACATCTTGGACTGTGTTGCATGTTTTTTGAAATATAAGAATCTGTCTTATGCAAGATTTTCAAATTTTTATGGGGCTTTTTTTGGTATGCATTTTCTGTATGTTGAAAAATATAAGAGTTAAAAATATTATTAAATGAAGATACTGAAAATATTCTGCATGTATGTTGATAAGGAGCTTTCAGGACCTAATGCTGTTTAGCATGCTGTGAAGTCACTTCAAGTAAATAATGTTGGGGGCTGCTGTAGTGATATCATGCCAGGTATCTTAAAATAGTCTTTTCAGTGATGATGGTAATGTGCCAGGGCAATATTAGTACAGCTGCTTGAAGACCTTTTCTAAATATGCTATCCTGAATTTAACCATTTGTTTTTGGTACTGGATACATGGCAGTCTGAAAGAAGGCCATAGGTTAAGAAGTTTATGATGATATATAGCTGATTCTTCTGTGTGCAACCAAAACTAAATAGGTTTATAAATGAAGGGAGGGAAGATGGTATGCATGCCCCTGTGTTAAACGGACACCCGGGATTCTTGTAAGCCTGTGGGTAAGGGCTGCCATGGTTTGATTTTTTGATTGGTTGATGTATAAACCAAGGAAGATGCTGAACAAAAGTGTAGTGTTCAAGGTCATTTATTGTATTATGTATATATTGTAAAATTATTTGTAATGCTTTGTAGCTTTTGGCTTATTGAATTAAATAACCTTAATGATTCTTTTTTCCAGGTCATAAGAAGATACTAAATGGTTGATTCCTCTTTAAAGTCACTAGGTTCTAGGTCTTTGAATGAGTTTTTCACTCTTATAGATTACACTCCACTAACTAATGATTTTGCTTACTGTATTTTCCAGATAAAACAATACTACATTGGGAAGCCTTCTATACAGTAGTTCTTAACAAGTTTGTGGTCACATATTCCTTTGACAATCTCATAAAACCTGTGGATTGTTTAACCTGAATGTATACAGATGTAAAATTTTGCATATGATTTCAAATATTTAGCAAAACTGTTTGGATCTTTCTGGAGCCTATCCATGGAGTCTGGGTTAAGGGCTCTTGTGCTTTTTATGTATGAACTCATTTCCTATCAGTCAGCCAAAGCTGTGTTCATTTAAATGGAAGCCACATTCCTTTGGATATTATATATATATAACTATAAGTGTTAATTATATAATTTCAAAAGATCCTGACCCTGTGTAGTCTTGTACTGTATGTTTTGTCCATATATCTGTTTGATTTAATATGGTTTAAATGGGATTCCCTTTAGAATAATTTTCCTTTCCTCTTTGATTTGTTTAATAACTTGGGTTTGTCTTTTTTATACCATGGAAAAGCAGTTTTTAAAAAAGCATTTTCAGAATACAAATTGATTCAAATGGAATCACTTTGAGTATTACATTTTTGGAATATACTTTTAGATACATATCTTTCCAAAGCATCATTCCTTTTTCCTTCATCCTATTCATTTTCCTACTGATGTAACTAACAAGGGCTTATTGATTACACAGGCTGGAAACGCAATTCCTTGACCCCTAGAACAACTGTTTTTCCTTGCCCTGGCTGTGAGCACGGTGTGGATCTTGGAGAGCGAGGAATCAATGGCCTATTCCGAAATTTCACTTTGGAAACTATCGTTGAAAGATACCGGCAGGCAGCCAGGGCAGCCACGGCCATTATGTGTGATCTTTGTAAACCGCCACCTCAAGAATCCACAAAAAGTTGCATGGACTGTAGTGCAAGCTATTGCAATGAGTGCTTCAAAATTTATCATCCCTGGGGAACTATAAAAGCTCAGCATGAGTATGTGGGCCCAACCACTAATTTTAGACCCAAGGTAAGTGAAGTTTTAAGTTAGAGTATTAAACTTAATATTGTAAAAGGAATTATTACAAGTCTTGAACTTGATGGTGGTGTGGCAGGAAATAGCTTCAGAAGCCTGTATAAGATATTAAGGACCAGTAGTTGGAGCGATTTAGTATGTTGCTAGAGCTCCCCACAGCTTAGGAGGCAGCAGTATGGTTCACTCGTTACAGCACAAGTACATAGCACATGAATGTTTGTAATGATAACCGAGTAACAAGAAAGGTTGGATTATGGCAGACAGAACTCTCTGAGATTGAAATAGTTACAGTTATAAAGTTTTTATGCTTTAGTGTGATGAACCCATAATTGTCTAAAAGATTTGATTGGGAAACATTTCTCTGACATGTGTGATTCTAGAATTCTATTATGACTAAGTAAGAGTAATGGCAGCCTAATACTTTGAAGCTTGTGATATACTGTTACATAATATCTGAAGTAAAACTTGCATTTCTTAAATATTCTGGGTAATTTATATAATTGTGCTCAAAAGAACCTTATATATTGTTTTTGATGTGACCAAAAAGCTGAGTGATTTTTGGATGTCTTCACTTAGACTACTTTCTGATTGACAGAGGTTTTTAAAAACTAATTCTTTTAATTAAATAAGATTATAACTTAGTAACTTGTGTATGAAAATCTATTTTTAGCATAAAACCTCCAATTTTTAATAGAAAAATGGAAAAAAATGTCCCAAAGTTACCTTGAAACTATGAACTATTTCTTGTATCATATTAAATAGTGTAAGACGAGTAGATTAAAACAAAAACAATCTACACCTCCACATTTTGAATGACTCTTTCTTTAAATTATGCAGTGTGGCAGCAAATAGTCTGTAATCCGTTTTTATGGTTCCTGTCTCCTTTTAAATGTTCAAGGTCACAGATTTTTTAAAATTAATAACTTCAACCTGGTTGCTTTAATGTTTCTTTTAAAAGATTAATCAAATTGACTAATGGTGTTCCATCATGAAAGAATCTATTATTAAATGAATATGTTAGGCTTGGGTTTTTGTGAGTTAAGAATTCATGAAATTGTGCGTAAAACTTCTGAGTGTTTAGCAGTCCCATTATTTTTATTTACAATACAATTAAAAAGATGGATAAAGGAGAACCAAAAAAATGGGACTAAGTTACGCTGAGAAAAAAACATGTTTTTCCTTCAGTTCATTAGTGTTATTCAATATAGTAAAATCCTGAAAAGGTGTCCCTTATCCTTTAGAACATTTGCCTCTAATTTTGAGTTCTTGTGATCATTACATGCAGAGAACTAAACTTTGTATTTTATTTTATGTCATGGCTTTGAGAATCTAGGAACTTGGGCATGCTGAAAAAAATTGAAATCTTTTCCACTTGTTTTACTCTGGACCTGCACACTGGTATTAGAACTTTTCATACCAGACTTCTTTACTTATTTATTTACTTGTTTATTGATTGACTGTCTCTAAATTACCAGACCAGTTATACTTGCTTAAAATCTAAACTGTTGAAATCATGGATAACTTCTTGATTTCATTAACACCTAGTCTAAAAGAATCTCCCTTTTCTTCCAAATGAAAAGGGTTATTTTACACAAAATATCAAATGTACTTACGATAGTCTAGAGAGTTAAATAAAAAGGTACAAACTTAAATCAGCAAAATAGTTCTAAATACGGTCAGTCTGTGTGCAGTTAATATGTAAAAGCAAACATCTGGAATCTTTTGTCATAAAGTGTACCAAGATTCTCTTAACAGCAATTTTTTTGTGAGGATAATGAGGCCATGGGTGCTCATAAGTTATTGTTATCTGGTGTCTTATAAGAATATTCATCAGGATCATTAAGAACTGCCTAGTCCATGTGAGCAGGAGGCCTTTCTAGGCTTAGGTAAGCATTCCCCTTAAGTCTGCTAGGAATGAGGTTTTCACCTTCTTATCACCAAGTTTAGGAAAATTAATATCGACATACTTTAATTAATCATTTGAACCCTCAAACTGAAAAATAGTAATTTTACTATAGAGAATTTTCATATGCTAGGCCAAATGCTTTTATTTCTTTTTATACTCATATTCATTTAAATGGCTTTAATGCTTTTATAAAGGGAATTTTTGTATTTTGGGACCTTGAATACTCAGCAGCCATGGTAATTCTTAATCACACTTTTATTTTTCACTCAATAGGTTTTAATGTGCCCAGAACATGAAACAGAGAGAATAAACATGTACTGTGAATTATGTAGGAGACCGGTTTGTCATCTCTGTAAGTTGGGTGGTAATCATGCCAATCACCGTGTGACCACTATGAGCAGTGCCTACAAAACCTTAAAGGTAGGACTTGTTCATTTTTGGAGGTAAATTTTGATTCTCTCTACCTTTATTTTACTTTATGCCTTTAACTTTATAAAATTGTGGCTTGTTGTTGTATTGAGATGAGTTAACAATGTAAAGTGTCAGTCTGATCTACAAATACTGGGTTGCCAGTATTTCTGACCAGGCACTGCTTTGTCATACTGATGTGCTAGTCAGAGATGCGAGGAAAGAGGGATGAAGGACACTTCCTTACGGTCCCTGAGTGAGCCCAATGCCTGTGATGTTGCTTGTGTGTTTGGGAGTGACCCACTTTGAAGGACAGTGGCTATTTTAAAACACTTGATTCTTGTTGCTCACCTGTGGAATTAGATCAACTTTTTAGTGTATTCTGGTGGGACTCTTACCAAATACAATGAGTTGTTTCCTTTTAAAAGTTTCAAACTTGATTGATAATCTGCAAAGTAGGCGGTGGTATAATGGCATTTTTTTGCTTTTAAAAGTTATTTAAAAAATGAATTAATTCATCCATAAATCTACCACCCATTTTATATTTGTTTCTGTCTTTAACAATTTACTTCAGTTTTTTGTTCTGTATCTAATTTTCATTTATATATGCAGTTTTACATTTTACATTTTGCGTGTCTGTCATGCTGAGTTTTCCATCTATGTTGAATGCGTGGATTACAGGGTTAATCGTTCTGTTCCTGTTTACTAATTCTGTCATCTGTCATTCCTAGGTCAGTTCTGACTGATGTTTCTTTTCATCATGATTTGTATTCCCCTGCTCCTTTGCATACCTGGCAAGCTTTGATCGGTTGCCAGGTATTACAAATTTTACCTTTGTGGGCACTGGATTTTTTATATGCTGCAGATAGATATTCTTGAGTTTCTTCTGGTATGTGATTGTTACTTGCAAACAGTTCCTTTTTGGTTCTACTTTTAAGCTTTGTTAGGCAGGACAGAGCAGCATTTAGTTCTAGGGCTAATTTTTCTGGACTATTGAAGTGAAACCTTTTGTTTACTCTTCCTGGAGCCCTATGAATTTTGAGGGTTTTTTTCCCCCTCTCTCTCTGTCTGAGTGGTGGGGAACAGGGATTATTACCAGCCTCACGTCAGCTCCTAGAGTGATTCCCCTCTCATCCTTTCTGGTGGTTCTTTCCTTGGCCTCTGGCAGTTTGCTCACACATGTGAATTGATCAGTACTCTGCTGAGTCATCTCTGGAGTTCTTTCCATAGCTGTCTGTTAGTTATTATGCTTTACAGACTCTAGCCTCCCTGGGCTCAGCTTCATCACCCCTACTCATGGGGGACACCGGCTCCTTCTGAGCTGCCCACTATCCCAGCTGCGGAAAACTTCTCCAGACAGGAAGCAGGAGGCAGGCAGATGCTCATCTCATTTCTCATCTCTCGGGGTTTTCTGTTTCTTGATGTCCAGTACCCTGAAAACTATTTCTTATATTTTATTAGGTTTCTCAATTTTTTCCAAACGGGAGAGTTAATACTGTCTTTCTTACTCATTTATGCTCTCCAGTGGCAGTTCCACTGTTTGTTAATTAAATTGAACTCTGATAGCCTTTCTGTTGCCTACTGGTTTGATACGACACAAGCTGCCCAACATTTTTTTCTGTTACCTGGAGTAAATCTTTGAACAATAGTAAACACTTAAGTTTACCTAAGTTATCTTTTACATCTGTTGTTAACTTCTTTCGTTTATGTGTCAAACTTTTCTTTTTAATAGACTCTATAATGGATTTTTCTATTTTTTTCATTTTCTAGTAATGACGATTATTTAGATGTGCCTGTTTGCCAAAAGTAGCCAACAGATCTCCTTCGATCTCCTTTTCTTTGGGTTTTACGTTTTAAGCTGAAGCACTGCGTGGTACAGGTTTATATTACCAGTTTGTCTCCACTGCTGAGTGTTGCAGGGAGCAGGGAAGTGGGCCTCCCAGAGGTTCTGCCTGCTGCTTGCGGGACAGCTGGGGCAGGGGCTGGGTTCCCGTCGGCCTCGTTTGCATCTGGCTGCTAACAGGAAAGCCGTGCTGTTCTCATTGGCACTCCTACCAGGTTGTTGAGTGGAGGGCTCCCTTTCAATTCTGGAAGGTGCGAGCACTTTGGGGTGAACTGCTAAGAGAATTGTCCTGCTGCTGGCAGTCTCTGTTAGGGGCTCAGTGGAGTCCTGCCCACCTGCCTCCATAGCAAACCCCAGTGTACTCTCCCCCTTGACCAGCTGGTACTGGTAAGGCTTTGGAATTCTGTTTTATCCCGAAAGGGGGCTGCAGTTGGGTATTTGCTAGCTCCCCTCAGACCAGCTATACCTCAAGACACTCTGCCTCTCCACTTTTGGGTGTTGGTGGGTTTTCTAGAAGAATGCTTTCGAGCTATTTGGGGTCCTTGAGCAGTTAGCCTCTGAGCCATTCCCAGAGAACTGGGGCTCTAACAGATCTGAAGGATTAAAACTGCGTGCCCTGGTAGGTGAGCCTTGTGAAGGTGGGAGCCTTGGCGTTTTACATTTTACTTTTACCCTCAGTGCCTGGTATCTGGTGCTCATGCATTTTGGAGGGGTGTGCGTATATGGACACACCGATTCTTGGTTAAAGCACATCTAGTCTTGACACAGGCTGTTAGGTCCGAGGGGGGCAGGAAGCCTGGAGCCGGCTCAGGTTGAGGTGGCGGCTGGTCAGAGACTTTGGCTGAGCATTACAGCTCGCTGGGGGTGGACCTGCTCTTAGACTCTGGACCTTGTGTCTGAATTCCTCCTCCCGCTCTTCTCTAGCCTGTTTCGCACTTATAATTTCAGATGTTTTAGAACCTGCTGGGAGCCATGCTGCTCAAGCTGTGTAGCGAAGCTCAGGCTGGAGGAAGACTCCCTACAAAGCAGGGGCCTTCGCAGCTGGCTCCCCCTGTTACCCACCTGGATTTGGTTTTTCTCCATTATACTATTGGCTTCGCTTTTGCTTGCTTTTTTGCCAAAGACTAAGCTAACCTTTGATAAACAGCATGGGAAGGAGGAGAACATAAACTTCCCAGAAGCTTTTCAGGCCAGTGCTCCTGAAGGATGGAACACGCAGGGGCCAGATCGCGATCTTGGCGTGGAATACAAAACCTGCAGGTTGCTAGTCAGACACTGACCGCCCCATCTCCACTAAGTGGGAATGCCCCCCTTGTGTGCAATGCTAGTGAAATTAGTGATGAAGAGTTTTATAGGAAAATTAGAGAAATAGAGTTATGAGGGAATATTGAATAGAATAACCCTGTCTGATACTTAATCTTCTCATGTTTTCTTCTATTTGCTACTTCTATAGCTTTTCTTCTTCCTTCCTAATTACAGCGCTTTACTAGAATTCATGCCTCATACGTGAAATTACCAAGTATCATAATTCTTCCAAGTGGTAAAGATACCTCAAGACAAGTGCTGGGCATAGAAGCCACAGGGCATAAATCTGCAAAGAAGTAAAAAGCTAACCTTTTCAAACAATATTGCTTCTCTCTCACTTACCAGCTTTACATTTCCCTGTATGGCCCCGGAAGATGACTGGTTAGCCAGAGACGGGTAAGATTCTTGAAGGGAGGAACAACCTAAGACAGGCACAGTCGCAGGGGGGTCATCAGGTGAGAAATTGGGGATCAACAGAGGTGAGGCTTAGAACCTCACCCCCCCTGTTTTGAGAGAAATCTTCTACACCTGTGGATGTTTTGTTGCCCTTGTCTAGCTTGGATTAATACTTAGTCTACAGGCACACACCTGATCATCTACACTTGCCTTCTTACAGCACTAAATCATGCTTTCTATCTTTATCTTTCATCTACCTACGATAGAATAAATATTATGAGGAGATAAAATGTACCCATTGCATTAAAAATATAGATGATGATACCTGCCTAGCTAACTGTAGTAGTGAGTGGCCTGTATTTCACCCTGAGCTGATAGACTCCATAGTCACTGCTACATGCTGCACGTTTCTGTGGTCACATGCATTACTTAGAAACCGCTTTGCATAGAAACAAGAAACACAATAGAGTACATGTTGCTCAGAAAAGTTTAGGTCAAGGAACAGAAAAAAAATCACCTAACACTTGGCTAACCATATATAGATTAGAAAGAAACAGAAAGAAAAAAGCTTGCCTATGCTTGTTAATCAAAAGAACAAATAAAAAATGATCATATCCTTGTGCAAAATGGTATAAATAAAGCTGTCATTGGCACTTTGTCGAGAGACCACCTCCATCTGACTCTGTGTCCTGTCTCTTTGGGCACCGACTCCATCTCATCCTTTGGGGTGTCACACTCCCCCGCTGGAGCTGGACTCCGGCAAGAACCAAAGCCCACCTCAATTTAAATGGGCAAATTCTTTTTTCTACTGTAGCTAAAAAGAGTACCACCACCTGCACCCCATATTTCCGGTCCCAGCAGGGGCCTACCAGGGACAGTACTGGGGAACGTCCCCCTCTTGCAGCTTGGTACTGAGGAAGTACCTCCCAGCCTGTGGAGTAGTGTGAGTGCACTCTGCACCGAGGAGGGCTCTAGTTCAGCTACGGGCTCTGTGATATTTGTTCTCGGTGAATTTTGGTTTCCTCATCTGTAAAGTGCTAGGTTAAGAGATGAGATTTTGTCTCTTCCCATCCTTAACATCTGACAGTTTCTTTCTGGGTCCTGTTGTGTTTTTAGTACTCAGAAATCTTGTTTTCTCTATGTAATGGGTCCTTCCTGTGTCCCTTCAGTGAGCCATCAAGGAAATGTGCTGTGTTTCTACACTGATGGCTGTGTGTCCAAAGACTTAGAGATGCGTCCTGCCAGAGACCGTCACTTTGGTTTCTGCATAGGTTTTCTTACCCTGTAACATGGTCTAAGTTAACGAAGAGAAAGATGCTAGAGGTGGGAAACTTACTCTTCAATTCCTAAAGTTGGATCTCTGCTGCTGCTCATTTCTTACCCACCCTTTTCTTTCAGATCATCAGCAGGTGACCAAGAAATGCTGAGATCCTCCTATTAGGGCTGTGGCATAGGAGATGTTTTCTGGAGGTTCTTATTTTATTTTAGACTTGTAATCAATTTGTCTGTTATAACTTTGTATCCCACAGTGCATCAGGGGTTTTTGTTTTTTAAAACACTTCAGGCATATTACATACTATTTATTCTGAGCTAGACTAGGGGTTGCATCAAAATTTATGACATCTCTATGGTAAACTACACTAATTTCAAAATGCCTACTTGAGAAACAAGTTATTCAGTAAGTTCTGGAAGCTTAATGAGCTCCATTTTTATAAATGTGTATTTTCATTATCATGTGTTGTATAATTGTTTAATGCATATCTAGGCTGCGTTGGGCTCTGAAGATTATTTGGGAAGAGCCTGTCTTTGATGCTGTTCATTTTGTGTGTGTGTCTGTCTGTGTGTGTGTGTGTGTGTGTGTGTGTGTGTGTGTGTGAGAGTGGCTCTGAAGCTTATTTGGGAAGAGCCTGTCTTTGATGCTGTTTGTTTTGTGTGTGTGTGTGTGTGTGTGAGAGTGGCTCTGAAGATTATTTGGGAAGAGCCTGTCTTTGATGCTGTTCGTTTTGTGTGTGTGTGTGTGTGTGTGTGTGTGTGTGTGTGTGTGTGTGTGTAAGAGTGAATTTTAAAAAAGCTAATGGAAGACAAGACTGAATGCTGCCCTTCCCAATTCCTTTTTGGAGTGATGATGAGACAACAGAAACATGCCATTTGTGTGGTCAGGATTCGTGACTCATCTGAGCATCACTGCCTTGTTCTTCTTCCCATCCTGCTTCTAATTGCTCCTCTGCCCTTGGGCCTCTATGCTCAAGGCCATTCACCCCAGGGTAATGACAACCAATGAGGTTGATTTTACAGTCTGTTCATCTTAGGCTGCACTGTGTACAGAAAACCCTAACCCTGAAAGGCCTTTGTTTAACTTCTGTTTCTGCTTACTTGTGTTATTAACATGTTCCAACAGGAAAAGCTTTCAAAGGATATTGATTACCTTATTGGCAAGGAGAGCCAGGTGAAGAGTCAAATTTCTGAACTAAATTTGTTAATGAAAGAAACGGAGGTAAGTGTTAATAAACTGGTTTGTGTGTTTTTCATTTGTTGCCTAGATATTTGTTGATTCATCAAATCCTGTGTATTATATGAGCTGGAATCCACAGTTGTGTTAGATTTCACCTGTTTTTGTGGGAGGAAAACCAGGGTAAAAATACAAAGCTGTGTGAAGAGTGCTGTGGTACAGGTAGAGCCGAGATGGGCCTGGAGCACAGAATGGAGAATGACTCTACGTGGCAGTTAAGGTCTCAAAATTAGAAATGTAGGGGAAATGATAGCTTTTGCAATTACCTATATTTTACAGAAATTGACATCACATCTGAAAAATGTACTATCTGTAGATGGGACCCTGTTTATTTAAAATTCCAGATATTCCTAAGTACATACCTGACATACACTTGCCAAAAGACATGATGAGAATGTTCATCTCTCCATTATCCTAATAGCTGCAAAGTGGAAATGACAAATATGTCCATCAACAGGAATGTAAATAGCAGTAAGAATGAGTATCTCCAACTCTGTGCAACAGTGTAGAAAAAATTTTTCAGTAACATTGAAAGAAAGATGCCAGATACAAAGGAGTACATCCTGTGTGATTCCATTTATTTAAGTATCAGAAAAGGTGACAGTGGATTGTGTTAGAATTCAGGACCAGAATGTGCTTAAGAGGGGGCAGATTAGTGCATGGAAAGGTTGTAAGGGTGGCTTCTGGGACTGGTAAAGCTTTTAATTAATCTGCATGCTGGTTACATGGGTATGTTCACAAATATTCATCAATTTCTACACTTACGTGTATGTTTCTGTTTATATATTATGCTTCAGTAAAAAATAGAAAAATTGGCAACATTTAAAATATATAATAAAAGAGGATAGGACTGGGTTATTATAATTCCAAGTACCTTTCACTGGCTTTTGATGCCTGTTTCTTTTCTCTATTTGAAATTGACCAAAGAACCATTATTCCTGATAGTTTTAAAAGTTTCAATTCAATATGAAAGTATCCTGGCTAGTCTGAGATTGCTATTTTGTGAACTTTTTCTTTTCCAAAAATGGGTTAAAATTATTGAGAATCTATGCGAATTTGCTGTTGTTTTTACTATTGCTTTTTTGTTTTTACTGTTCTCTTTCTAATATTCACTGATTGCATTCACTTGCCTAATGAAGTTGTGTTTCCCTGTAATTTACAAGTGGGATCTTGTTTTTCATACTTTTGTCTGATTTATGGGCTTTGTCCGTTTGGTGTAATCCCCCCGCATAGCAAACTGCCCCCAAGGGAGCAGCTGGCAGGGGTTGATTCTCGTTCATTTTAGGCTTGTTTCACTCTGTTGCTTCTCTCAGTGCTGTGGAAATACAGGGAACCCACTACCTATTTCTGAGTCTGTCACTCAGGAGGCTGAAAATTGAGCAACCGAGGCGTCACGTGTTCATGTGGACAATGATTCCTTGGGATCCTGGAGAAATGGTTTCACTGCTTTGTGTACCTTTGACCTATGCTGCATTTATGGGCTAATCAGTAAGAAACTAGAGAATTGTCTCCATTCTTAACTCTTACTCAGTGATGATTGTGAAACTGTCTTTTTAATCTATAATACACTTAGCTGGGGAAAAAATCTCCTTTTTTACCTATGTATAATGATATTTCTGAATCATTTCATTGAAATACTACCAAAATGTCACCAACCTCTGTGATGCTACCACACACCCACCCCAACTCTTAAAAAAAAATTGGCTCTTGGGACTTAGGAAACCAAGAAGGGAATCTGGAAAAAATTTCCTTTCATTATAAATGTCGGCTGGAAGCCATTGGAAAATGCACAGTGCACTTCAGCCATATGTTTATCAGCTTTGAAGAATATTCTTGAAGACGTTTTTTCCGTTGGCTGCTGCTTATGGTCTGTAATGATGAAATGTTTTGCTGGTCTTATTTGCAAATCAAGTTGATCTCTGATATTGTAGATACTCAAAATGTTTAATAAGCACTACGGATAGGATCATTTTAGACTAGAGGAATAGCTGTGTGTGTATGAAAATAGTGTGTATCAAGAATATATGACATTGTGGTGGGCATTTTATGTAAATAATCTCTTTTGCTCTTTGACAAAAACCTAAATGGTTTCTCTTAAACCCAGTTTTCAGAAGAAAAAACTTAGGCATAAAGATATTAAGTAATTTACATAAAGCCACATAGGATTTAATTATAATTAAATTGTATTCAAAGAGAAGAATTACATTTCTAAATATCTTAGTAAAAGGGGGCATCATTTTACTAAGTTTCATGGCTATGATTTAATTTCTAAAATAGGGTGGAAAAGGTCAAATATTTCCTTACTTAGAAATGAATTAAAAACTCCAAAATTCTATTTTCCTGTCTTTGATTAAATTAATTTCTGCTTCAAGTTTCTTTGTACACAAGGAGGTTGTTTTGTATTTCACTGAATGAATTGTTTATTGCTGGACTTTGGAGATTGAAAGCTTAAGGAAAATATGATATTATAAGATTACAAAGTTTATCTAAATGAAAGTTGACAATCATTCCTTGGTAAGTGCATCTGATGCCAAATTATTGTTCCAAAAATTTCAGAGTGAAACAAAATCTATCTTCTTTACAACAGTTGGGGTTGTTTTGCTGAATTGTGGTTATTTTATGGAAAGATTGGGATTTATTAGGCAGGTGAGGTAACGCTTTGCTTGTTTTATAGCGTAATGGAGAGAGGGCTAAAGAAGAGGCAGTTACACATTTTGAAGAGCTCTTTGAAATTCTGGAAGAGAAAAAATCATCTGTTTTGAAAGCAATCGATGCATCTAAGAAACTAAGATTAGACAAATTCCAGATTCAAATGGAAGAATATCAGGGGCTTCTAGAGAACAATGGACTTGTGGGATACGCTCAGGAAGTGCTTAAGGAGACGGACCAGCCCTGCTTTGTACAGACTGCAAAACAGCTCCACTCCAGGTATTGTGCTGTTTACCTGGAGCCTCCGCAGCGATGTCATTAAAACTGCTGACGCTTCAGTCTGAGCGGTTCCCAGTGCTGTGTTGTGCGCAGCGCCTCTCGGCGCCCTGTTAACTTGGACGTTGAGTGAGGTTGTCTTTTGTTAATCATATTGCAGATATTTAGTCTGATGTGCCTTTTTAAATAATCATGTTTATATAAAACATGTCTGTCTGCAGAATACAGAAAGCGACGGAATCCTTGAAGAGCTTTAGACCTGCGGCCCAGACTTCTTTTGAAGACTATGTTGTTAATACGGCTAAGCAAACAGAACTTCTGGGAGAATTGTCCTTTTTCTCCAGCGGTAAGTGTTAGGAGTGGCAAAACCTCATTCTCTAGTCTTAATTTGTATTGTGTAGAAAAACCACAGCGCCCCTTAGTTTGACATTATGAAGCAGCATCTTAGTTGTCCAGAACCATGATGTCCTAAAAATCACATCTCATTTATGTTTTTTTGTTTTTGTTTTTTTCAGAGGGCATCTCTCATGTTTATTGATCAAATGGTTGTTAACAACAGTAAAATTCTGTATAGGGGAGTCAGTGCTCAATGCACAATCATTAATCCACCCCCAGCCTAATTCTTGTCA